TTAGTCAGGAATCTCCTTTCTTGTAACTTCAAGCCATTGATTCGAGTCCTGCTCTCCAGAGCCGGAGAAAACAAGCTTGCTCCATTTTCTTTGTGGCAGCCCTTGAGATATTTGAAGATGGCTATCTTATCTCCTCTCAGTATCCTCTTTTCCAGGCCAAACGTACCTAGCTCCATCAACCGTTCCTCAGTATGAAATTGTGGCAAGATGCTCATGATTTTTGGATTTTCTCCTTACTCAGAGATTCAGGCTGAGAGAATGCTCATTTGCTTTTGTGAAACAGGCACAGGCAAGTTCAGCGTTAAGTGAAGCAAACTGCAGATCTCACACCCTCCAGGTCCTCTTCAGGTTCTCACACCCTCCAGGTCAGAACAAAATCCCCTATTAATTAAACAGAAATTATAGCTGAAATAAATCACTTGATGATAGAAACCCACTGTGGGTTTTTTGTTTTTTGGAAAGGTGATTGCAATAATTAAACATTCTTTGACTGGTGACATTTCAGATAACTCTTAAAATGCCACCCGGCATTGATATTTGAAATTGATTCAACAGTGGAAATCATGACTGATCCTACAGAGGGCATAAAGTAAACTGCAGTGTCTTTAAAATATTTTTGTCTATCGGGTGCTTTTGCTTGGTGAAGAGTTCCTTGGTGGGGAATAGAAATTTGTGGTAGGTTGCTTTTAATAGTTTACCAAGAGCATTCATTGTGTGGCTGCTACTGAAAACTCAACACGGGAAATGTGAGAACGATCAGCGGCTCCAGAGTTTCCCTCCATCACTTCTACGGCTTCTTTTTCTGCCTTTGTCTCCTTCTAGCTTCTTTTCTGTCTTAAAGATATTTCTAGCTGCATCTTTCCACCACTGCGCCAGTGTCAGCTCAATACATTTTGCTGTCTGAAGCAGAATCCAAATGGCCCAATGCCTTTTAAATGTTTTGCTGCATAATACTAGCCATCATTGATTCTGCCCTCTGCCTTTCCTGATGGACCTCCAGAAGCAGTCACTTCGCTGTCCTTGCTCTGCCCTACTGCGCACTGTTTGTTATACTGCTTCTTTGTCTCTATATTTAGGACTGATTTAATGTCCCCACTGTTGAAATGGTAGCAACTGATCGAACCTTAATGCATGGATTTGTTCGTCTCCAAAAAGCCTGCGAACCTCACCAAAATGCTGGAGAGGGTGCACCTCCACAGGCACATACCTCCACATGTGGTGGGAGTGTTCCAAAATCCAACTATTCTGGACAACAGCCATACGAGAAATATGTAAAATAACTAAGCAAGTATTAGACATCACCCCAGAATTGGCCCTACTAAACATCTTCCAAGACAACAATGCCCATTTACACCACAAAGCACTCATAACCCACCTACTTTCAGCAGCCAGAAATACCATAACCAGACACTGGAGAGACCTGTCAGGAGTAAGCATGGACCAATGGTACCAAATAGTATGGGAAACAGCCCTACTAGAAAAATTAACCAATAAACTGAAACTGACATGGGGCAAACAGAAGAAGACGCCTTTACCCCGGTATAGCTCCCCTTTATCACATACACAGCCCAACAAGACAATGACAATAATCCACCAACAGCATACAAATCAATATGGCTAATCTGATCCAAAACACCCACGCACCCCACTCACACATGAAAACAAAGATCACCACAGCCAATCACAAACAAACAACCACACCCTAGGCCAACCCCAACCTCTCTCACCACCAAAGGAACACAAGTGAACAGCAGAGAACCAGCACGAGCAACGCTGACACCAAACCCTACATACATTAAGCAAAATAGAAACATTGCCACCCGACCCCACCCCCACCCATCTCCCCCCCCCTCCACCCCTTTTCTTCCTAATGTCTCAACAAATGAAACTGATTTGTAAAAATGTTACATGGAAAAAATACGAGAGACATTACACATACTTCTGTAAATCAAGAAAATCTTTAATTAAAAAAACCAAAACAAATCAAAAAGCCTGCCTCTGGCCTTGTTCTCTGCCTTTGAGTTGCAGCCTGGAGGGCCTAGCTTGGCATCATCTTTTCACCTCATCCATGCCTTTCTCTCTTATCTCAGTCAGATCCAGCCATTCATTTGCCCTTCTTCTACAGAGAATGATTTGTAGCTGGTTGACTGGCCAAACCCAAAGAGTGCTCGTTAATGGTTCCTCATCATCCTGGAAAAAAGCATCAAATGGGGTGCCATAAGGTTTTGCCTGGCCTGTTGTTCAATGTCTTCACAAATGACTTGGATGAGAGAATTTAGGGGATGCTCATTAAATTAGCAGTTGACACCAAACTGGGAGGGGTACCCAATGCCACAGAAGACAAGATTGGAGAACATGGCCCAAGCTAACGAAATGAATTTCAGCAGGGACAAATGTAAAGTTCTACACCTGATCAAGAACAAATGGCTGCCACAAATATAAGATGGGGGGGGGGGACACCTGGCTTGCCACAAGCTTAACATGAGTCAACAGTGCGATGATGCAGCAGCGGCGGCGGCAGCAGCGGCAAAAGAAAAGAAAAGCTAATGATATTCTGGGCTGCATCAACAGAAGTAAAGTGTCCAGATCAAGGGAAATCATAGTACCACTCTATTCTGCCTTGGTTAGACCCAGTGTCCAGTGGGAGTACTGTGTCCAGTTCTGGGCACCACAATTTAGGAAGGATACTGACAAGCTGGAATGTGGTTTGCCATGAGTCTCATACTCACTGATATGATCCATCTGGTTCTGGGCTGTACTAGTTTAGCTGCAGATGGGGCTGGGGACACACATAACTCAATTTTCCTTCATGTAATAATAATAATAATAATAATAATAATAATAATGGTAATAATAATAATGGTAATCATCATCATCATCATCATCTATCAACAAGAAATTCTAGTACATCAGCGAGAAGGCTAGGTTAGAACTCTTATGTGGAAAGATCCCCCCCCCCCAATGGTATTTTCCCACCTGTGGTCTGAAGCGGTACAGCAGATGAACCTTGGATGACCATTTTAGGGGAAACCAGTGCTGCTGCAACTGTACGGGATGGGGCAGCTGTAGGGTGGTGATGTGGTTGGGGCTATGAGCTAATCCAGTGCTCTCATTGGCTTTCTGCCCATTGCTGCATAACAACTGGTAATAACAATGAACCCCCCCAAAGAGCATACTTTGCTCTGTTATTAATATGGGTGAGATTTAGCCAAGTTAAGCGCTTTAATGTCCCATTGGTTTCTGTGGTAAAAGTAACCACATGTTAACTTTCCTATTCCCTATGTTCTGTGAAGAAGCTGTTTTAAATGCAGGATGAATAGCAATCCATGCCTGTGATGGCCATTTTGTGAGAACCTGTTTGATTTAAAAAGCAATACATTCTTCCTTGCCAATATGTACATTCTAAACTTAATAATGCTTTTTTCTTTCCTGCAGGCTGAACTAGTATCCACCTGCTTGCAGATAAAAGTCAAAGTCTGAAATTCCAGTTTGTTGACCTTACTTTCTACATTCCGCTTGCCTTTTTATAGCAGGCAGACCCAGTCACAAGCACCATGCAATTAGAAGATTTAACATGTCGCGGCTTGGCATAATTGATCTCACATATATTTCTGCAGTAGGTGCTGTCAGTCTTTATCTACAGTAGGGTGGGGTTTTTTTGGGTCTCTCCTCCCCCCGCCAGCTTTATGGGGTTTCTGTAGCCCCCCCTTGATACTGCTGACTGCAACAAAGAAACTGAATAATGCAAACCATATTGAGATGGCCATAAAAATAGACGGAAGTCAAGAGAATTTGGTTATCTTCTGCTGGGTGGTGCAGACTGGCTTTGTGTTCATTTGGCTTCCAAAATGTCAAATGCAAAGTGTGCGCAGGCAAATTCACAAAACAAAACTAGTGAAGAAGGATTTATCTATATTGTTGAAGTGTTTTGGTGTGCAGAAAGGGAGCTTGCAAGTCACTTAGTCAAAACGGGAGGCTGTGTAATGAACATTTCATCCCCAATGAAATGAGACACGCACCCCGCTTCTCCCGTCAAAAGTTATGAAATATTTTGCAAGGAGCATGCATCAAAACGAAGAGGGCATGTGTCTCCAGTGCAAAGACAATTGTGACACTCCCTCATACGGGGATCCAAACATGCGTCTCATTGCTAATGTGGTGGTGCAAAAGCATTACATGTGCATCTGAATGCAGATGTTGTTTCCCTACCCTGCCCCACATTATTTTTAGTAGGATAACAACAACAACAACAATAATAATGTATTTATACGCTATACCCTGCCCATCTGGCTGGGTTTCCTCAGCCATTCTGGGCGGCTTCCAACAAAATATTAATATACAATAGTCTGTCAAACATTAAAAACTTCCCTAAACAGGGCTGCCTTCAGATGTCTTCTAAAAGTCTTCTAAAAGGATATCTGTTTCAAAGTGGTTTAAAGAAAAAATGAAACAAACAAAAATCAAAATTTAAAACATGCATTTAAAATATCATAAAATAGAACAATAGAACAACATTCATGGATCAAAGGCCACCTGAATGTGAAACCATTTTAACCTGGCATCTGAAACGTTAGCAGGGATCAGTGCCTGGCTACTTTCTAAGGGAGCTCCACAGAGTCGAGCCCACTACACTGAAGACATGATTCCTCATTGTTGTGGGTCATGCTCCTGGTCCCTGGGAGAATCAACTTGCGCTCCCCCAGATGATCTCAATGATTGGCTTGGGACAGCAGTAGTGCAGACTACTTTGCAGTTAGTGCTCATCCACACTCCCCTTTGTCCCACAATTTCTTCTGTTTGTCTTGTGATTTCTAGGCATGGGTCAAATAGGATTTTGTTTTGTCCCTAGGAAAACCCGCTGTTTACTACTGAACAGGCTGAACAATCTGACACAACACGATGGCCAATAACAATGGCACTAAACACTATTTATAGACTAATACAAATGATCAGAAATTACAACCAAAGTCTCTAAATCTTCTTCACCAGTCGCGGTAGAATAATTCAAAAGTTTGATATATACATAATCTGTCACCAAATATTGCCAGAACAGAGTTTCCGGATGGAAAGATTGGCTGATGAAGCATTGAACGAAACAGATTGGTTATCCACAAACTCTGTTCCGGCTATATTTGGTGACAGATTATGTATATATTGAACTTTTGAATTATTCTACCGCGACTGGTGAAGAAGATTTAGAGACTTTGGTTGTAATTTCTGAACATTTGTATTAGTCTATAAATAGTGTTTAGTGCCATTGTTATTGGCCATCGTTGTGTCATATTGTTCAGCTCCTCTATATTGCAACACAGGGGTCTGTTTACGGATTACTTCTAAACAGGAACAAGCATCAATCTGCGGAAAACCTGGTGGAGGTTTGTTCCCATTCAGCAGTAAATTGTGGGTATTCCCGGGGAAAGTGGAGGGCGCAAAAGAAAAACCTCTTGGACCTTTGCCTAGAAACTGTGGGATAAACAGAAGTGTCGATGAGCCCTTAGTTTGTTCAGCCTCCCAAAATCCTGTGAGGCAGGTCATTGTTATTCTCATTTTACCAACAGAGATCTGAGACAAAGATATGTGACTTTCTCAAGGCTACCTAGTATATCTGTGGCTGAACTGAACTGGAGGTGACCACTGAAGTCGATCTGTATTCTCCCCCTTGTTACTGATGTTGATCTTCATTCACCCCTTTGTCCCTGGCTCGGAGGGGGGCACCTTTCTGTGGTTGGCCCCAGGTGCCAAAACATCCTGAGCAGGCCCTGTTCACCACTGAGCTCCTCGCACACTATTTGTGTGAATTGCATTTGTTGATGTTTTTAATGATGATTTTATGGAAACCGTTGTTGATTCTATTTTTATATGTTGTGTTCTGCCTTGCTATAGATTTTATGAATGTGTGGATTATAAATTCGTAAATTTTAAAAATGAGCACTTGGGGCCCATGTAGAATTTACATTCACATTGCAAATGAAATGTGCCCCATATGAAAATGGTTCAAGTTAGTGAGGTTGTTGATTTTGCTTTTCTCTCTTCTGCCCACATCTCTAAGTGTTACAAATTCAAGAATATTCCTGAAGAGCCACCATGTTGGGGGAAATGCTCCCCCAAAGCAAACATGTTCTATTCCCCCTTCCCCTAGTTTTTACTGAGGCCAGTGGAGTTTTGTAGAAATGAACTTTGTTCACTGGGTTTATGACGCCCCTACAGCTGACGGTGTGATGAAGTCTAGAGATGCTTTTTCTTCTGACCATGTAGTATCAGGAGAACAAAAAACAAAAGCCACTCTCAATAATGAAGCATCTGTTGAAACTGTGATGGGCTTAATTGGATAGTCTTCTTTGGCAATCACTCATAGCCGAGTAAGATTGTCTTCCATGAACACAGTCTTAACAGTGTGTTCGTAGGTGACTGTGGGGACCAATTCTGGATCCACACATCCTTCCACAGTGGGGACATAGGTTTCTGGGTGGGAGTTGATCACAGTGAAGGTTTGCCAAACGTGCCTTCCTCGTTTCTCCCTTTCACCCTGAGTTCGTGCTCCTTCAAAGTCCATGATGCCTTTGGTAGAGGCTGTTCTCCAACTGGAGCACTTGCAGGCCAGTGTTTCTCAATAACACGGATTGCTATTTGTTCTAGTTCAGTAGTAAAGAGTGGGTTTTCATGGGGAAAGCACTGGGGCCAAAGGAGGGGGGAAGTACTTGGACGAAGAAGAAGAATCATAGAATAGAATCATAGAATCATAGAGTTGGAAGAGACCACAAGGGCCATCGAGTCCAACCCCCTGCCAAGCAGGAAACACCATCAGAGCACTCCTGACATATGGTTGTCAAGCCTCTGCTTAAAGACCTCCAAAGAAGGAGACTCCACCACACTCCTTGGCAGCAAATTCCACTGTAGAACAGCTCTTACTGTCCGGAAGTTCTTCCTAACGTTTAGGTGGAATCTTCTTTCTTGTAGTTTGGATCCATTGCTCCGTGTCCGCTTCTCTGGAGCAGCAGAAAACAACCTTTCTCCCTCCTCTATGTGACATCCTTTTATATATTTGAACATGGCTATCATATCACCCCTTAACCTCCTCTTCTCCAGGCTAAACATGCCCAGCTCCCTTAGCCGTTCCTCATAAGGCATCGTTTCCAGGCCTTTGACCATTTTGGTTGCCCTCCTCTGGACACATTCCAGTTTGTCAGTGTCCTTCTTGAACTGCGGTGCCCAGAACTGGACACAGTACTCCAGGTGAGGTCTGACCAGAGAAGAAGAGTTGGGATTTGATATCCCGCCTTTCACTCCCCTTCAGGAGTCTCAAAGCGGCTAACATTCTCCTTTCCCTTCCTCCCCCACAACAAACACTCTGTGAGGTGAGTGGGGCTGAGAGACTTCAGAGAAGTGTGACTAGCCCAAGGTCACCCAGCAGCTGCATGTGGAGGAGCGGAGATGCGAACCCGGTTCACCAGATTACGAGTCTACCGCTCTTAACCACTACACCACACTGGCTCTCAAGCCTAGAACTACAAAGCCCAGATCTGTACCCAGAAATGTGGAGCAAAGTGTGGATGAACCCTATGTTCCATTATTTCATTGGCTTTATTCATTGTCCTTCTTTTCCATGATTTCCTTTCTGCACCTAAGCATTGTTGTTTTTAGTGGTTGGTTTCTACAACGAAGAGTCTCCTTTTTGCACATAATTGAACTCTAGCCTCTAAAGCACAAGGGTCTTTCTCTTCACTCTTAACAGAACAACGCATAATGAGAGGGTTTCAGCTGGTCGGTTTTGACAATGGCCACTAGAGGGTATTATGTTCTCGAGCACGTTTGCCTTAATGCTGTGGCTCTCCCAAGCAAGGCTGGCATTCTGTAATGAGGCACTAGCCTGCCTGGGAAGGAATGAGCAAAGTTTGAAAAGGAGGAAGAGGGAAGGGAGGAGATTTAAATATACTCCAAAGTACAGAAAAGGAAATGAGCAAAGATTGCCTTCTGAAGGCACTGAGAAAAGAAGACCTCTGCTCATGATATGTAAGTGCTGAATGTTTTTGTTAGACAACATGGCAAAACTAAATGCTTGCATCTTGGCCTTACTCAGCAATGATTTGAAATGAAAATGCAGCCTCAATATTTTTCTTTTGTCATAGTTATGAAAAAAGGCTCAGACAAGTGTCCACCCTCCCCAAATGTCACAATCCACACACAAAAATTGGAGCTCCCCCCACTTCCCATCACCTTAATGTAAATCGGGTCTGGTTTCAGACAAGTTTCTTATGGAATAACAACAATTGTGCAATATGTATTATGGCTTCTCCCTTCGCAAACAGCTTTTAAATCCATTGAACTAGGTCCCTGGGGATGGCTGGAAAGTCAGCAGGTTATCATATACTAGCTATTACCATTAATCTGGATGCTTTTATTCACCTTTTGCTACCTTCTTCCAGTAAAAAGAAGGTGTAGGTCCATCTCCTCAGGAGCACTAGAACACATCTGGAAAGTGCTCTTTCTTTTAATGGCTCCATGGTCATCCCCAGGGCAGAATTAGTTGGACCAAAAAGAGGAGGCAAGAGGTCAGGAGGACACAATCTTCCTAACGCAACTTTCTGAAATCTCTCAGGGTTGGCTCACACCAGGATCCACGAGATTTTATCCAGAAGCAAAAGGAGTTGTTTTAAATGTAATGTATGCGGGTGGGCAAGGTGTGTGTGTGTGTGTGTGACGCTGTGCACAAACAAGCACAAGACATTGGAATCTGTGTAGGGATTGTATGGGGGATGGGGAAAAGATATGCAGTCTCCCAAACCTGACCGTGGCTCACTGGATGGAATGCAGAAGGTGACTGCTTGCCCAATTAAGATATCACCTTGGTTTGGTAGGAATCATAGCTGCTTTGTGAGGATCCTCATCTGATGCTACTGTGAGCCTATGAAGTTGCTGTGTGGGTTAGTGGCTGGTCAGAACAACCCTGCTCTTGCTAGCCCCTTTCTTGTGTATTAAAGTCCTGCTTTTTCCCTACTCAACTCCTTGTTGTTGTTGTTTAGTCGGGTCCGACTCTTCGTGACCCCATGGTCACGCCAGGCACTCCTGTCTTCCACTGCCTCCCACAGTTTGGTCAGACTCAAGTTGGTAGCTTCGAGAACACTGAACATCTTGTCGTCTGTCGTCCCCTTCTCCTTGTGCCCTCCATCTTTCCAAACATCAGGGTCTTTTCCATCAGGTCTTCTCTTCTCATGAGGTGGCCAAAGTCTTGGAGCCTCAGCTTCAGGATCTGTCCTTCCAGTGAGCACTCAGGGCTGATTTCCTTCAGAATGGATAGGTTTGATCTTCTTGCAGTCCATGGGACTCTCAAGAGTCTCCTCCAGCACCATACTCCTTAATCAGAGTCAAAAGCCAATGAGCAACAGAACAGCTGGAGTCACTCCAAGTCGGTGTTTGCCAGCTTGATTTCTCTTTGTATATGTGTGGTCTTGGAACAGTGAGGTGTGGTAGTGCCAGTATCCTTGGCCATATCCTCCCTGTCCACAGGCACATTGGATTTCTCACCTTCCTTTTATTTGCTTAGGTGTCAACTCATAGTTTGAAGTCAGACTTCCCCCTAGAATCTTGCATATCAGAATGCAATCACTATGTGTTAGTAGCATAAAGGTAAAGGGTAAAGGGACCCCTGACCATTAGGTCCAGTCATGGCCAACTCTGGGGTTGCGGTGCTCATCTCGCTTTATTGGCCGAGGGAGCCAGTATACAGCTTCCGGGTCATGTGGCCAGCATGACTAAGCCACTTCTGGCGAACCAGAGCAGTGCACGGAAATGCCGTTTCCCTTCCCACCGGAGTGGTACCTATTTATCTACTTGCACTTTGATGTGCTTTTGAACTGCTAGGTGGGCAGGAGCTGGGACCGAGCAACGGGAGCTTACCCCCTCGCAGGGATTTGAACCCCTGACCTTCTGATTGGCAAGTCCTAGGCTCTGTGGTTTAACCCAGAGCGCCACCTGCATCCCGTTAGTAGCATAGAAACCACATTATTTTAAACATATTCTTCAATTCATTGTAAATCATTTCCCAATACTTCCGAACAATTTTGCAATCCCACCACATTTGAAAAAATGTCCCTTCTGCTGATTTACATTTCCAACACTTACTTTTGTTATTTTTTTATACATTTTTGATAATTTTACTGGAGTTAGGTACCA